ATGGACTTGGGTGTCATCAATATGCAGATGACACCCAGTTCTATCTGATGTTGGGCGGCCGGTCAGATTCTGACCCTGAAGATCTGCACTGAGTCTTGCAGGCCGTGGCTGGGTGGCTCAGGCTGAGCCGGTTGAAACTAAACCCGGCGAAGACGGAGGTCCTGTGCTTAGGTCGGGTTGGTTCGGGGATGGGGCTCCTTCTCCCGACCTTCGATGGGGCACCTCTGGTGCCAGCGTCGGAGGTTAGGAGTTTGGGAGTGCTCCTGGATTCCTCCTTAACTATGGAGGCCCAGGTGGCAGCCACTGCCGAATCAGCCTTTTACCATCTTTGGCTGATCCGGCAGTTGGTCCCTTTCCTCAACCGCGATGACCTGGCTACAGTGATCCATGCGACGGTCACCTCGAGCTTAGACTACTGCAACGCTCTCTACATGGGGCTGCCTCTGTTGCAAATCCGGAGGCTGCAGCTGGTGCAAAATGCTGCGGCCAGGCTGCTGATGGGCCTTCCGAGGTGGGAGCACATCTAGCCTGTGCTGAAAGAGCTGCACTGGCTGCCACTAGCGTCCTATATGGCCAGGGTCCCAAAGAGCACTTTGGTTGGGGTCACAACACCGTCTGGTGACCCTCAGCCCTAGAGAGGCAAGGCTTGCTGCAACTAGAACCAGGTCCTTTTCAGTGGTGGCTCCTACCTGGTGGAACAAGTTCCTGGAGGAGATCAGGGCCCTGCGGGACCTTTTGCAGTTCCGCAGGGCCTGTAAGACGGAGTTCTTCCGCCAGGCTTTTGAGTAGGAGCCAGTACTACTATCACCACCAATATTGGTACCAACAGGGTAAGAGGACGGCCCTATGAACATCAAACCGTGACAGCTGCTCGATGGGGATGAGTAACATCTACGTGACATTATCCTCCTTAGTGAAGGCGTATCGTTGTTTTATAACATTTCTGAGATACCATCTTGTTATATTGAGAGATTGAAACTACTGAGCACTTTATTTTGTTAAATTGATTGTCTTGTTTTTATTGTTTTTATGTATAGGCACATGGTGCTCTTTGTAAGCTGCCCTGAGCCCGTTTGCGGGGAGAGCAGGGAAGAAAGTTTATGTTCATCAATGTGCGTACTAATTCTTTCCTTAAAAACAGTTTCCACCAACTTACCCAGTATTGACGTCAGACTGACTGGCCTGTAATTTCCCGGATCTCCTCTGGAACCCTTTTTAAAGATGGGGGTGACATCAGCTACCTTCCAGTCCTCAGGAATGGAGGCGGATTTTAATGAAAGATTACATATTTTTGTCAGGAGACCCACGTTCACATTTGAGTTCTTTCAGAACTCTCGGATGTATGCCATCTGGGCCTGGTGATTTACAGTTTTTAAATTGTCTTATCAGTTGTAGGACCTTCTCTTTCATCATCTCAATCTGACTCAGGTCTTTCGACACCCCTCCCAAAATCAGTGGTTTTGGAGTGGGCAAGCACTTCTCATCTTCCACAATGAAGACAGAGTCAAAAATTGCTTCTCAGCCATTTCCCTAGCATCCTTCAGTAATCCGTTTACCCCTTGGTCATCCAAGGTTCCCACTGCCTCCCTGGCTGGTTTCCTGCTTCTAATGTGTTTGAAGAAAGTTTTATTGTTCGTTTTCATGTTTTTTGCAATATGCTCCTCATATTCCGTTTTTGCCTGCCTGATCACAGACCTGTATATTATTTGCCACAGCCGTTGTTCCCTTTTATCAACCTTATGGAGATTAATTTTCCACCACTTAAAGGAATCCTTCCTACCATTTACAGCTTCCATTACCTTGTCTGTTAACCATCAGGGCCGGCTCACCCACTAGACCAACTAGGCATTCGCCTAGAGCACAGGCCGGCCCCTTAGGGCACAAAACTAGACTCGCACCCCCCCCCACCGCCGGGACCGCCACCACGATGGTGGTGGCTCTCCTGCAGGGCACTGACACTGCCCAGGGCCTTCGTCCGCTGCCCCACCGCCGCTGACAGCTTCTCCCCTGCTGCACTCCCGCCCACCCCAAATTGCGGCTCCTCTGATCAAGCATGTGCGGAGAGGCTGCCTGGAGCGCTAATCCCGGCGGTGCGTCCATGACGCCACCAGGAGCCTGGCCAATAAGCGCGCTCCTTCCTCCAAGGGGCAGGGAGCGGGCGTTTCAAACACAGGTGACTGTCATCCTGGCAGCTGGAGCGGCCCTGCCATGGAGGCCCAGGTCAGGTTCGCCCGGAACCTGGCCTGCCTTTCCCGTCTGCACCGGGGACCCTCGCCAGCAGGGGTCTCCTGGGCCGCCCCCCCACCCCTCGCTTGGCGCCCCCCACCCCAGCGAAATCATGCCCTGGCGGGCGAGACAGCCGGAAAGGAGGGGCTCCCACGCACGACTGCTGCGGCTGCATCAGCTTTTGTTGCGGGGGGAGGAAGGCGCCTTTTTCACTCCACCCGCGGCCCCGCGAGGAAGGCAGGGGAGCAAAGCTGGAGGAACCAAGGAGGAGGAGGAAGAAGCCCGCAGCAGCAGGAGGTCCGGTCAGGTGAAAGGCAGGCAAGGTGAGGCCGGCCAGCCAGCCCCTCAATGGTGGGCCAGCAAGGGAGGCGAGGCAAGGCTCCTTCCCGCTCCAGGCCTCCTCCCCGCCGCCTGTGACTTCTGCTGCAGGCCCCGCTCGGCACACAGCCTGGCCTGCAGGGGTGATGGCAGCGCTCTCCCCTCCCCCAGGCGCCCCAGGGTGCCAGTAAGCGCACTTGCACTCGCCCCTGGCTGGCCCTCGCCCTTTCTTGGAGGAAGCTGCCTGGCTGGGCTCGACCCGGGCAGGGGCAAGGCTAGCTTGTAGCGCCCAGCACCCCCTCCCCCGGGACGTGTTTCTGGGAGATCTCCAGGCCTTACTGGGAAATTGGCACTGCCTGGGGGGGCACGGGCACCACAAGCTGGCCTCGCCTAGAGCGCAGAAACACCTCGGGCCAGCCCTGTTAACGCCTTTCCTAACCTGCGGCATATAATTTTTCTGAGCTTCTAGGATTGTAGTTTTAAATAGCCTCCAAGCTTCGCCAATGGTTTTGACCCTTTCTACTTTTTCTTTAAGTTTCCTCCTCACGTGTCCCCTCATTTCAGAGAAGTTACCCCTTTTAAAGTTAAAAGTGCTTGTGTTGGTCTTTTTGGGCAACCCCCTATTTAAACAGATGTTGAACTCAATACCATTATGGTCATTGTTCCCAAGCGGTGCAATCGCTTTTACATCTCTCACTAGGTCTTGGGCATTTTACATCTCTCACCAGGTCTTGGGCAGTCGGTTCCTTCTCAGGACAAGTGGAGACCGTCTCTTTTGTACAGCTCCTTCTTGCTCCAAAAAGCATCTCAGTGCCTAACAAACTTGAACCCTTCCCCCTACACCATTGTCTCATCCATATATTGAGACTCCTGATCTGTGCCTGTCTCTCCGACCCTGTGCGTCGAACAGGTAGCACTTCCGAGAAGGCTAACTTGGAGGTCCTGGCCTTGAGTCTCCTGCTTAGCAGCCTAAATTTTTCCTCCAGGACCTTACGACTGCATTTCCCCACATCGTTGGTGCCAACATGTACCATGACCACTGGCTCCTCCCCAGCACTGTCTACCAGCCTATCTACAACACGTGTAATGTCCACTACCTTCGCACCAGGCAGGCAAGTCAGTATGCGGGCTTGCCACCCAGCTGTCTACCTGCCTAAGGATCGGATCATCAACTACCGAGAGCCCCCCTCCCTCCCCAGGGATGGTTCCTTGGTGCAAAAGGATACCCATCCACCAGCTGAAGAAGAGGTCCCTTTTGAGGGCACATTCCCCTTATCCTCAGCACGGTGCCCTGTTTCCTCTTGACCCTCATGCTCCCTGACAGTGGCGGGGCTGCCATATTCATAGTGGGGCATAATTAACAAGTTCCCGAGAGTCTTCTCCATGCGTCTGACTGTCTCTGCTTCTGCAGGTCAGCCACCTTGGCCTCAAGGGTGCAAACTTGTTCCCTGAGAACCAGGAGCTCTTTGCACCACATAGAACACACAGAACTCACAAGGAACATGCTTTTGATTTCATATTTAGCACATTTTCAGTCCAAACAGACTCCAAAATTGGCTCAAATGAACAAAAAAGGAGGGGAAGGAGGTTAAATCTCTGCTTAAACTGGATACAGTCTCCTGCCTTCTGATGACCTGATGGTAGCTGACAGCGGGACCAAAAGGAGCCCTCAGCTGAGCTACATCCAGGCACAATGAAGGCGTAATTGCTTGACTTCTCCCTGCCTCCACCTCCAATGAATATTAGGAACCCACTGCTATTTTCACCTCCAGTGACCTATCCCTAAGAAATACACCCAAGGCAAGTTCTGCAGCAAATCTCCTGGGCAGAACATCAGTCCAAAGGCCATCATTCCTCTGCTGAACAATCCAATTCTTTACACCCATATTTATATTTGTACCAACATTTAAATACATTATTTTCTCACTTTGATATAGCACAGTTATGTAATGGGTACATGCCGTTACACGAATGTCCAACTTACTAGAGAAATCCCAACCTTGGTTTTATGGTCCTCAATTGGTTAAATGAAGGCAGTTCCACAGAACATACCAATGGGGCTGAGTGTCTCAGTACTCTCAAATTCCATTTATTAAAAGTTCTGTCCAATAGTCATACAGTGTAAACAGGATTGAAAATTTAGGCTCAGCACTCATTGGGAAAAAAAATCCAGACTAGAATTCCAAACACTGTACAGTTTTTCAAACTTTGACTGAGATTTTTTGCATTTATATTAGAAAACTAGTATTGAGTATGGACTCATGCAAATTTAGAAATTTTACAGAAATGGGCTAAAACATTATGCAACATGCTGTTTTTCTCAGTAAAGAAATGAAATAAGCAGATAAGCTACATCTTGTAGCAGTTGTAAGGGACCTAAACATCTGGAGAAACAATACTCTATTGAAATGCGGACACCACTCTTGCATACAAGAAATAGTCATTCAAATGCTTACCAGTGTTGGCCTGACCTTGAATCGCTGTGGCAATGGGTACTATGTGTGTTCCATTCTGCGTTACAGTTTTTATTGGTAGCTGGTGTTGACCTAGAGGTGTTTGTTGCACTATGGTAACCGTCTGTAGGGGTGCAGTCTGAGAGGTTTGAATGATCCGACTAGCGGCTCCTATAGTTGTATGGCTAACTGCAGGTATAGATTCCACTTTAACTGTGGGGGAAAGAATAAAAATCTGTTAAGGAAACAGTTGAAAGTGAATACCAATTAGTGGTGAAAGTTTTTATCCTCAGCACTTAGTAAGAGAAATCAATGAAGAACAAAAGAAAAAAGCTGCTTTCTCAGCTTGTAACCAATGAAGAGAAAAATAATAAAAGGATCAATGGTAAACTCTTACCTTTCATTTCGTTGTGGTCTCCATTCTCTTGAGGTTCTCCCTTAGGCTGGGCCACCACTGCTGCCTGTGTGACCACTGCTTGACCAGCTACAGTGTAAGTATTTGCTGGTGCTAATCCAGTCACGTTTGTGACAGACACAGCTGGTATTTGATGGACAACATGAACTGTTTGTACTACAGGCTGCTGGGATGTTGATGTTGTCACAGGAGTTGCAACAGTGTACGTGACAGGTTTCATAGTTTGTGGTAGCTGCCTCTGTACAGTAATTAAGACGGGCTGGCTAGATAAGGGCGATCCTACCAAAATAGGGGGAAAAAATGGGTTACCTTATCCTCCTTTCACAGGAACATGAGTAACTTGTCCCCTTGAAAGGGGAAAACAACAACAATAATACTCCTTCCCTTCCACAATTTGTGCAGAGACACTAAAGGTCAATCCAGTTAGACTGAACGTTACTATGGCACTCTTAAGCATGCGTCACAGGCAAAAAATTATTTACAAGTAGAGGATTACAACTACTAACATGAACAGTTGATACAAATCAGCAGAAAAAAAGTACACATACAATATAAATATTGAAACAAGCGGTTACATTTGCTTTGCCCTCTTCAGACCTTCCTGCTTCATATTGCTTTATCCGCAATCATGACAAAGTGAAAAGTATACATTTACATACCAGGCTAAGAGGGTCACCTAGCTTTTCATCAACTCTGCTTTACTGCAAAAGTAGGCAAAATATCAACCATGGTCCCACAGGGCAACCACCAGCCAAATCATGGTGCACTGCTAGTTCTTCCCTCCTTCCAGCCTTGGAACGGCTATTCTAGGGTAAGCTAGAATCTACTGCATGGTTTGCTGTGACTGCCAGAACTCGAAGAGAGGAAGGTACTAATGCCACCAGTGGTAGCAAACACTTCTATTTCAGAGAATAGTTCCTAACTTCTTCTAGCATGACTGTTCCATAACTACCAGGAGAGAAGCAGTTTGGTCCTTGCAGTTACACTGCTGCTTCAAGTCTTAGACTGCTTCCTAGAAGCAGTGAACAAACCATGATTCAAAGAAGCAGGGCAGCCATACAACAGGTGCTAGCATCCAACAACTTTCTGGCATCAGAAAGGAATCATATGAATAAGAGCTGCTGTGTTAATAGGAAAGGAGCCATGTTAATTTATACCCCACCGTACTCCCCAATGGGAACCCAAAGTGATTTACATCATTCTTCTCTCTATTATCCTCACAACAACCCTGTCAGGTAAGTCAGGTTAAGAGTGTGTGATTGGCCAAGGATTCAGCAAACATATTCAGCAACATATTCAGCAAACTTCCATGGCAGAGTAGGGATTCAAGCCCTTCTGCCGTTTTCAAACACATAGCTAGCTAACAGACTCAGCATCACCACAATAGTCATTTGTTACCTTCCTGACACTCCTGTATCCATTCTAGATGCAGCCCAATTCCCTGCCAGCTTACCATCCTGCAGCCCCTTTTCTTGGAGAAAGAGGTGGTGCCATGCCGCCATTGATGGTACTATAGAAAAAGGATGTATGCTGGGGAGAAACTGCTGCCGGACCACCAGGGTCCATGCTCCATGTCTCTATGCTGCAAGCACTGGCCTACTAACTAGGCAGAGACATTAACAAGGAAACTGTGGCAGGTGGGTGTTTTTAGGCACTAAATTGATAAGTATCAGGATTAACACCAACAATGGGCAGTTTTCTTGTGCACTCCCTCTGTTATCAGTATTTTTTATTATTATGAAGCATGCAAAAACTCTTTGCAAGTTAAGATTGAATACTGACAAGATCATCCACTTGAAACTTTTCATGAATCTTGTTCCCTTCCCAGTCCTTGAAATAAAAAGGCACCCCCGTGTTTCAGACCACATACAACCGTTCTGAAACATACTATCTAATGCCAGTAGTTGCCTTGCAGAATGCAAAACATAAAATTTCAGCCTGATCTTTCATCAATTTGTATCTCAGCTTCATGAGTTGCAAATTGTAAAGTGGAATTATATGTTTTTAAAAGTTGACACAATTTGGTATTCTGTAAACCCTGTACATTTCAACAAACATTCTCTGGTGTGGATTCAGTTGCTCACATCCCTATGTACACTTACTTGCTGGCATAAAATGAGAAGCAGCAGACCATGCAGTTCATAGTGCAGCTCCTACCTATGCCCCTGCAGTTACTTCCCAATACTGGGGCAATGCTGACCCAGGAAACATCTGCCTTGTAAACTCCTCTTGCATGGTTCAAAGCTTTCAGCAGTATCCCAGAAATGTGGGAAGCAGACAAACCGTAACGACCATCCAGACCACTTGGGAAATTTCAGAATAGGTCCTTTATTTCCAGATGACAAGCCCATTTCACCCCCATCTTCTATATGTATAAAAGAAAGCCCCCTCACCGTCAAACCAATGCCTAGGCCAAACCACTGGACCTAGAAAAACCAAATTCGGGAAGAGCG